TAGCATAGTCTTTGTACATAAATTCCGACCTAAGATTTAGTCATTGTAATCATCATCCAACTTAATCCTTTTCTAAACTTTGATGAACTACTTTCTCAAAGTTATCTCACAACTTATTAACAACGGTCATCTATGTGATGATGACAGAACACCTCACATAACACAGATCAATGTCTAAAAAAAAAAAAACCACACACAAATGAAGATTTTTGTGAAATAATCAGCAAAGGGATATTAAGTAGAATGAGAGAAAACTGCAATGTTAAAACTAAGGCCACAACCTATTTGGTATCACTTTTGTCAAACAACCACCTTTAGAAAAACGTATTAATCTAAGTACGCATGTTTAATACCTTAGACATTCTTACGTTAAAGTTCATGTTTTATAAGAGGAAAAATGATTAAGCTCTATTATCAAGTAAGAAGTTATCACATAAACGTATGGCTTAATATTTATACACTATCAATTACCATTCTGTGAATACTTCCCAACAGCTCTCTCTTTTATGTCCTATCTAAAAGAGGATCTGCCTTTTGAGTTTGGATGGCTTGTGGGTGACAAATAAACCAAAGAGGAAGAAAGCTTTTTTGAGCACTGTGTGTTACTGTAATTCTGAAATCCAGATCAGAAAGTTTATTCGAGATGGTCTACATCAGTACCTTACCCGTCTAGAAGATTCATTGTTGTTGTAGTAACTTCAGTGAACAGAAGGATCTTTCCAAGCTTCTTTGTCTGCAGGTTTTGTTGATATGTCTCCAGGCTGAAACGTTCCGATGAGAAGCTTCCCATCTCAGTGATGACTGACATGAGAGATGGAGTTATCTCCATTTTTGATTCACAAGACGAAACAAATTTAAGAGATACCTTGCTGGATTCTATTAATCCTTCAGCATCTACACTTTCCTCAAGCCACTTCAGAAAAGCAAGATGGATTTCCTGTGGGCAAGGGAAATAAAATGAGACACAGAAATATGGACCAGCATACATGAAGACATACAAACGTTCTTCTGAAAACATTTATAGTCAAGCAATCTCTTCTCCTTCAATACGGGAAAATTAATTCCATCTCTTCTTCCAAGATGAACTTCTGCTGCCTGCTCTAGTCTGGTATAGCCTGACCACTTGGTAGTCACTTCCTAGACTTGAGACCAAGCTCCTTTGCAGATTAGTCAGGCTTAATCTTTTCCTACAACAGGGTTTGCGACGGTTCAGCTAGATACTGAAGCATGGTGTACATACATTCTTGTGCATTATGCAGGTTCTTCAGCACGCTAAGTTTCTTCACTGCAAGCCTGTCGACCCACTGCTAAGATTGGACTTCAAGAACAAAGCAACAGCTAAGAAAGGAACATCTACTGATTTCTCAGTGGATTAATTGCAAGAAGGGCTCATACCTTCAGCTAACAGAAGCTTCACTACCATTACCTCAACTTTAGACAAAAGTGGCTATTAGCTAGCTAAGACAGAAGTGTATAACTCAGGAAAGCACATACCTAAGAAAAGTCTATTATCACTGTATAAAATGCTGTTATAGCTCTGCTCTGTTGCCACAGCCAATGACAGAGCTAGTACATATTTCTGTAGAAAAAAATTTAAGTATGAATTAAAAAGGCATTATGTACACACATAATTTTATGTATCTACACTCCAAAATTTTGACCTTTCTCCCCTTTATTTTAGGCTATTTAGAAATAAATTTTATTACATGTGAAATAAAGAGATGAATTACTGGTAACATTATCACTTGTGATACCCTGAAACAACCGTTTCATACTGACAGAACTTTTTCTGGAGATATCTAATGCTATTTTGAGAGACGTGATGTGAAATGTTTCCCATCTCTTCAGAATACTGTAACTCAACAGGCTTGGACTTCTTTCTATCAAGTATGGAGCTTAGATTTCGAAGAGTCCTTCTTTTCCTAGAGACAAAAAAGTCTTTTTCACATGTGTATCTCCATTTTTTTCCAAAGAAAATGGAACCAGACTGAACTAGAGAGGAGCTAATTTGTAAAAATAAATAAAAGTGAAATAATGGTATAAAAAGATAAACTAATTGAACAATATACTGAATGTAAACCAGGAAAAGAAGTAAAAGTTACTTAATCACTGGTTAAAGCTATCAATAATTTACACACCAAATTTGAATTGGAAGAAGAAAACTCATGTAACATTCTGGGGGCAAAAGTGCAAGAATCACAAGAGGATGCTGAAATGTACGGACAAAGAATTCCTTTAAAATATTAAAAGATGAGCACAGACAGCTACCCAAATGACACCCAAGGATACAATTCTAAATCTGACCCTCTTCATTACGCTCTCCTTTTCAGGGTAATAGCTATTCTGAAAGAGATATATGAGCCCACAAAAATTGGGTATTATACTCTACTGAAAATAAAGTATCAAGGATTCTTGCCCCGAAATTTTCTAAGAGGAAGATACTTGACTTGTATTTAAACAACTTCTCTTGGATGCACAGTTTCACATAACACTGTTGCATATAAATGCCTACTCTAACCCAGTATGTGCTCCTCCTTTCCATTACTGCAGTAACTTGGAGCCTCAATTTTGAAGTTTTCCTAAGTCAGTTCCTAAGCTAGGACTAACTTTTACCCTCGAACAAGATGTCCCTGAGCTCCAGTCTAATTCATTAAAACACACAAACTGCAATTAACAGCTAACCTCCTATAAATAGCTCTCTATCCAAGGAATTACTCCAATTTTCCAAATCCCATTGTTATATCCATATGGAATGAGAAATGTATTTCTGTTTCTAACACCTTTCTATGGATTTTCCATCTTCAAAAACTACATCTTCTCAGGTTTCAGATGGACATTACTTCCCCTGTGACATTCTTCGTATGCTGAATGTCAACAGACTTATTGGTTTGCAGGCCTGTAGTTTGGGTAGGAAAGCATAACATAGAGAAAGGAATATTTTTTTCCCCAGTGCAATCAAGCACTAGCTTCTAAATCCCAAAAGGACCTAAGAGTGATTCAGTCAGTAGTTAAATTTTACTTACAGAAAAATTACTTCTCATTTCTCAGTTTTCTAAAGCTCCAACTGAACTCTTTCCATTTAACTTCTTGGACAAAATATGCTTTAAATATTTTTTCCCTTTTTCTTTTTGGCACATGCACAATACATGATGAGGTGACATTAAAGGTTTTATGAGCACTTCTTTGAATTGATCTTCAGAAACCACTTGTATCCTCACTTAAGAGTAGTACCATAGCCTTGACAGACTGCTGATAAATTCTTTATGTACAATCCTACTTGTTTTTCTCACACAGTAACTTATTTGCTGTTGGTAATGTTTGGAAAAATTATAGCTTTAATTCTTGTAAAGGAGCATACGGAAACTGCTTAACCAGAAAGTGCATTTCCTATTGCTTTCTGAAAATAGAAATTCACTTGGCATGAATGTCTGAACACGCAAAGTCCTAAAAACAAAAACATAATTTTAACTCACATAAGGATGGATTTACAGGCTTACAGAAACAGACATTAACATCCCTCCCTCTCCTCCCAAAAAGGTGCTTAAAGTATTATTAGGTCTAAACAAACAATGAAGGTGTTTGATACTATGCATCAGAAATCCTTTGTACCTTTGCCACAGCATATTTTCAGAAAGCACTGAAATAGCAAGTATTTACTGAAGTGCAATATTACATTATTACAAATATGTCCTACAGTTTGCAACATTTATCCTTTTAATATGAGCATATTCATTCAAGTGATTTTTTTCCTTAGCTTTAGGCTTACTTCCTGATTTCGTTTTCTCATTTCTAACGCATATTAAACCATTTAAGATTTGTTATGTGTGTATAATTGCAAAACCATTTTTCCCATAATGTATATATGTTGATTGAGTTGATCAGAAATATAAACAGGGGTAACACATAATTTAAAATAGCGTTTGATTTTGAGAAGTTTCTAAGAAGAAAAAATTTTTTTACAATATTAATTTTTGTTAAAGGAAGAAAATTTTCAAGTCCTGTCCAGATGCTCACTAGAAAGAGTAATTTTTAGTACAAGAATGTCCTTTACACAATTAAAAGTACAAAAGTATGGATGATGAACCGATGTGGTTTTGTCCCCACAATTACACAGTCACGCACCGTATCAGAGAGGTTCATTTTTATATAACAAAATAAACTTACATAAAAAGTCAGGGCTAACCTTCATTTCAACCCCATTACAAAGGAACAGAATCAGGTCAGAACCAGAACTGAGCAATTTGCTGCTAAGTGCAAGATTCAGCTTTGAATTCAGAGCAGGGAACCTAACACCATTCACTGGCAGCGGGCGGAAAGCCAACCTCTCCCCAGCTGCGAGCACCGTTCTGCAGCAACCTCTGGTGGCCACTCAAACGCAAGGTGTTGCTTCCAAGGTCTCTCTGGCCTTACCTGCCCCTGGGACCAGAGCACACACGTCACGCAAGGTACTCAACTGAGACACCAGGTAAGGGAATACCTGAACTCCTAGCCACTGCTCACCCCTGTCTGCGGTTCATGATCGAGTTCAAGCTCATTATCAAAATCTGAAAACGGGCGGAAACGAGCTTCGAATGAGTAGGCAATCAAAAAAGCAGTTCCTTTTACAAATTTCGGCACTGACAACGGTATCTGCAGCTACTTACGCATACGATCGTACTAAAAAATACACTGCCTATAGTATCAGGAAGATCCTTGTAAATATAATAACTACACATGTTTTAGGGAGGTACAACCATCTTCTAAAATTGGTATTCTTCATTAGTCCCCCAGCTCAGGCAAGAAGAATAAAAATCAAGACAAATTTCCTACAAAACTGTTCATTTTTCACACCACATTTGATACGCACCATCCTCAAAAGCAAAGATGCTGCCTTCTGCTCTGTCATAAAGGAAGAATAAAATCTGAGATTTCAACTGGATAATCTTATGACAAGAAAGCTAAACAGCTTTTCACAGTTAAAATAATCAACTACAAAGTCGGTATTTACGACAGGAATTTTTTTTAAATCGTATTTTAAATTACAAAGCACAACATATTTTCTATGCACTGTAAAAAACGATCAAAATCAGAAAAGAACTACGCTAACAGGAACTGTGCATTTTTTCCTCACTAACAAATTTTCCCAAATATTCCAAGGCACAACCTGGAATCCCTCAGAACAGAAGCCCGGAGCGATCCGAAATTTCAAGGTGGTGACAGGCTAAATGATCCAGTATAGAGGGACAAACCCCTCAACAAGCAGTTTTGATTGTCAAAGTGAAACGCGTCACTAACTGAGAAGTAGTTGTGAAGTGGTTAAGGAAACAGAGTGGACGTTAATTCAAAAAATTCAGAGAATTAATGAGCTCTGGTACTGAACGCTATCTACCCTCAGTTCCTCCACCGATCAGCATCAAGCTTTATCAGGGGCCCTTATACCAGGGGTTCGAGACCTGTTATCACAAGTTGCTGAATTAAAGTTGTAACAGCAGTTGTAAGGTGAAGCAGGAAGAGTAAAAGCTACGTGTTTTAACGATTTAACATCCGTTTTCTGTGACTTTAAGCATTTGGTCAGGTATGTGAAAGCAACCGTTGCATAACAAGTTCGCTTTTGCTGTTCAAATTTTTTTTTAATTTTTGTAATTATTAGTTTCACTTTTTCCTAATGCTTATTTAGCAGTTGAGATTGAACAAAAAGGGGAAAACGGGCAGACAGAAGAGACAAAAAACCAGCTGCATATGAACCTTTCTCTGCTGTAGTGTAAAATAACAGAAAATTATAGCTCCTGGTGGGGATGATTTTATTTGCTCCTGGCCTCTATCAACCAATGACACTTATGCACAAAGCACAAACTTTCAGTTACAATGGTTAAAAATAATCCCAAATTCCAGTATTTTATTTTGATATATTTTCTGTATATTATTTTTATTTATTTTAATTTATATATATATGTTCAC